TCTGTTCTTAAACAACATGGAGAAAGACATCAATTTATAGGAGTTGTTTGTGCACTGGCCAGACAGAAGGGCATATAGGGTTTATAAGCTGAGGCCTTAGCATCAGATGTCTTCAATCAAGAGAGTTCACAAGCAGAAGGAGGAATGGAGCAGGTTAATGGTTTTTGAGCAAGATCAAGCTGCTGAAATTTTGGAACCAACTCTTACACGCTAACTCAGAAAAAGTACTCACCTATCCTACCTTGCAACATCAGCGTCAACATATGAACTCTCATCTTGGAGTAATATTGATAAGCTTCCTATTACAAAAGTGGAAGGAAGCAGCATAAGAAAAAAACAGAATCCTTTAACAGAAATAAAACATGGATTCTCACTGAGTAACCGAAAGATTAAAAGGCTATAAGTTGCAAGTGGGTTTTAAAAAAAAAAACTGGATGAGGATGGAAATGTAATCAGTTACAAAGTTAGACTAGTTTGTAACATCTAAACTGTTTCATATTGAGCAGATAGATGTAAAGTCACCTTTCTTGAATGGTAACATAGATTATTATTATTATTATGATGATATTTATAGAGCGCCGTCAACTTCCACAGTGCTTTACAATGGGTGGACGAACAGACATGTAGTTGTAACCAGACAAGTTGGACACACAGGAACAGAGGGGTTGAAGGCCCTGCTCAATGAGCTTACATGCTAGAGGGAGTGGGGTAAAATGACACAAAAAGGTAAGGTAGATGAAGGACTTTGCATGATGCAGCCTGAAGGATTTGAAATGAGGTTTAGTATACAAGCTCCAAGAGTGTGGAATGCAAAACTATGAGAAATTATCATAAATCATAACTTCATTCATAGTAAAGCAGACCCATGTCTATATACCTGACAAAAAAATTGAAATTTTACGTATCTACTAGTCAGGGGCGGACTGAGAGCCTTTGGGGCCCCCGGGCAAAATTAGATCCCAGGCCCTTTGAAGGCCAAATATACGTGCATGAAATAAATGTTAAATTTAACTCATAATACGGCATTCCTTTGGATGTGTATATTGTCAAGACCTGTGTATCAATGTATGTTTGTATTTGAGTCTGTGTGAATGCACTTGTGCATGTCTGGATGACTACATGTGCTTTTTTGTATATAGTGTCTCTGTGAATGCATATGTGACAGGTGACAGAGTGTGTGAGGGAGAAGGTTGTGACAGGTGGCAGAGTGAGGGGGTACCTGGTGGCAGAGTGAGGGAAGGAGGGGTTGAGTGGTGGCAGAGTGAGGGGGAGACACAGTGAGTGGGGGTGACTGGTGACAGAGTGAGGGAGTGGGTGACTAGTGACAGAGGGAGGGAGAGGGGGTGACTAGTGACAGAGTTAGGGAATGGGTGACTAGTGGCAGAGTGGGGGAGGGAGGGAAGAGATGACTAGTGGCAAAGTGAGGGAGGGAAGAGGTGACTGGTGACAGAGGGAGGGAGTGACTGGTGACAGAGGGAGGGAGTGACTAGTGACAGAGGGAGGGAGTGACTAGTGACAGAGAGAGGGACCCCCCTCACTCTGTCACTAGTCACCCCCTCTGTCCCTAGTCACCCCCTTCCTCACTCTGTCACTAGTCACCCCATCCCTCTCTCTGTCACTAGTCACCCCATCCCTCCCTCTGTCACTAGTCACCCCTTCCCTCCCTCTCTCTGTCACTAGTCACCCCCTCCCTCCCTCTCTCTGTCACTAGTCACACCCTCCCTCACTCTGTCACTAGTCACACCCTACCTCACTCTGTCACTAGAGTGAGGGGGTGACTAGTGACAGAGTGAGGGAAGGGGTGACTAATGGCAGAGTGAGGGAAGGAAGGGGTGACCAGTGACAGAGGGAGGGAGGGAGTAACTAGTGACAGAGTGAGTGCCTGTCACTAGTCACCACCTCCCTCACTCTGTCCCTAGTCACCCCTCACTCTGTCAATAGTCACCCCCTCTCTCTCTCTGTCACTAGTCACCCCCTCCCTCTCTCTGTCACTAGTCACACCGTCCCTCACTCTGTCACTAGAGTGAGGGGGTGACAGGTGGCAGAGTGAGGGGATGACTGGTGACAGAGTGAGGGAGGTGGTGACTAGTGACAGAGTGAGGGAGGTGGTGACTGTGACTAGTCACCACCTCCCTAACTTTGTCCCTAGTCACTCCTCCCACTGTCACTAGTCACCCCCTCCCTCACTCTGTCACTAGAGTGAGGGGGTGACTAGTGACAGGGTGAGGGGGTGACAGGTGACAGAGTGAGGGAAGGGGTGACTAGTGGCAGAATGAGAGAAGGAAGGGGTGACTAGTGACAGAATGAGGGAGGGGGTGACACAGTGACAGAATGAAGGAGGTGGTGACTGTCACTAGTCACCCCTTCCCTCCCTCACTCTGTCACTAGTCACCCCTTCCCTCCCTCTCTCTGTCACTAGTCACCCCCTCCCTCTCTCTGTCACCAGTCACACCCTCCCTCACTCTGTCACTAGAGTGAGGGGGTGACTAGTGACAGAGTGAGGGGGTGACAGGTGACAGAGTGAGGGAAGGGGAGACTAGTGACAGAGTGAGGGAAGGAAGGGGTGACTAGTGACAGAGTGAGTGCCTGTCACTAGTCACCACCTCCCTCACTTTGTCCCTAGTCACCCCTCACTCTGTCAATAGTCACCCCTCTCTCTCTCTGTCACTAGTCACCCCCTCCCTCTCTCTGTCACTAGTCACCCCCTCCCTAACTTTGTCCCTAGTCACTCCTCCCACTGTCACTAGTCACCCCCTCCCTCTCTGTGTCACTAGTCACACCCTCCCTCACTCTGTCACTAGAGTGAGGGGGTGACTAGTGACAGAGTGAGGGTGTGACAGGTGACAGAGTGAGGGAAGGGGTGACTAGTGGCAGAATGAGAGAAGGAAGGGGTGACTAGTGACAGAATGAGGGGATGACTGGTGACAGAATGAAGGAGGTGGTGACTGTCACTAGTCACCCCATCCCTCACTCTGTCACTAGTCACCCCTTCCCTCCCTCACTCTGTCACTAGTCACCCCTTCCCTCCCTCTCTCTGTCACTAGTCACCCCATCCCTCTCTCTGTCACTAGTCACACCCTCCCTCTCTCTGTCACTAGAGTGAGGGGGTGACTAGTGACAGAGTGAGGGGGTGACAGGTGACAGAGTGAGGGAAGGGGAGACTAGTGACAGAGTGAGGGAAGGAAGGGGTGACTAGTGACAGAGTGAGGGGATGACTGGTGACAGAGTGAGGGAGGTGGTGACTGTCCCTAGTCAGCCCTCCCTCTGTCACTAGTCACCCCCTTCCTCACTCTGTCACTAATCACCACTTCCCCTCCACTGCCTGTAACTAAGTGATAGGTGACTGAAAGTGACAGAAGTAGGGAAAAGTGACTAGTAGCAGAAGTGAGAAGAAGGAAACGACTAGTGACAGAAGTGAGAAGGTAGTGACATCACTAGTCACCCACCTCCCTCCCTCTGCTCACTGTCTCTCCCTCTGTCACTACTCCTCCACTCCTTCTGTCACTAAAAATCACCCCCTCCCGTCCCTCACTCTGTCACTAGTCATCCCCCTCTCTCACTCTGTCACCAGTCATCCGCTCACTCTGTCACCAGTCATCCGCTCACTCTGTCACCATTCACCCCTTCCTTCCCTCACTCTGCCACTAGTCACCCCTTCCCTCACTCTGTCACCAGTCATTCCCTCACTCTAGTGACAGAGTGAGGGAGGGTGTGATTAGTGACAGAGTGAGGGAGGGAATGGGTGACTAGTGACAGAGTGAGGGAGGGGTGACTAGTGACAGGGGGGGTGACTAGTGAGGGAGGGTGTGACTAGTGACAGAATGAGGGAGGGAGATGGTGACTAGTGACAGAGTGAGGGAGGTGGTGACTGTCACTAGTCACCCCATCCCTCTCTCTGTCACTAGTCACTCCCTCCCTAACTCTGTCACTAGTCATCCCCTCACTCTGTCACTAGTCACCCACTCCCGCACTCTGTCACTAGTCACCCCCTCCCTCTGTCACTGTGTCACCCCATCCCTCCCTCTGTCACTAGTCATCCCCTCCCTCACTTTGTCGCTAGTCACCCCTTCCCTCCCTTACTCTGTAACTAGTCACCCCCTCCCTCTGTCACTGGTCATCCCCCCCCTTACTCTGTCACTAGTCACCCACTCACTCTAGTAACAGAGTGAGGGAGAGGGTGACTAGTGACAGAGTGAGGGAGGGGGTGACTAGTGACAGAGTGAGGGACGGGGTGACTAGTGACAGAGTAAGGGAGGGAAGGGGTGACTAGCGACAAAGTGAGGGAGGAAAGGGGTGACTGAGTGAGGGAAGGGGGTGACTAGTGACAGAGTGAGGGAGGGGGTTACTAGTGACACAGTGGGGGGTGACTAGTGACAGTGGGGGGGTAACTAGTAACACAGTGGGGGTGACTAGTGACAGTGAGTGGGTGACTAGTGACAGTGA